CTTGGAGGTTTCAGTCCATTGTTGGTTGATCCCATGACACTTGGTCATATGTTATATCATGCCTAGAGAGTTTGGCAACCAGGAAGTAGGAAATAAAGGGGCTGGGGTCTCAGTACTCCTATAGCGGGGAGGCTCAATGACCTACCTTCCTCCATCTAGACAGCATCTCCTAAAAGTTTGTTTCATTATTTTCCAGTAGCTCCATGAGTTGTGAAACAAATATTCAACACAAGGGCCTTTGGGGGACTTTCATGATATAAACCATGGTACCAGTCAATCAAGTCACAGGATAGAATGAGATAATAATCATAACGTCTCCTTATATGAGTTAGCAATGCAGTGTTTGACCAAGTGCTTCCATTTAAATTTTTCCTGAGATTCTCACAACATTACCACAACAAAGATTTTACAGGTGAAGAAGCAGAGGTTCTAAGAGTTTGATTTGCCCATGGAAATACAACTGATGCATTTCCTGGCCATACCCTGAGTCCTATTTCTTCTATCTCTGTTTATTTCTCCACACTTTCCTCTTCCCTATATCTCATTTGTGACCTGCTATCTTTTACCTGGATCATTGTACTGACTTCCTTACTGGTGTTCCTATGTTTAGTCTTTGCCCCTCTCTGTACATTTTATGCATAGTTCATTTAGCTTATTCTGAATACCTATTCTGTGCTAGGACTAAAGAAAGCATGTGTTTATTTATAGCCACACAGCTGTTTTCAGATTTTATGATTTTAATACAAATCATGTAATATTCAAGTTCACAATTATTAAGGCTTTTCACAGTACTTAGAACAAAATTCATGACTGAGAAGGCTTTGTCCAATCTGGACCCTATCACTTGCTAATCTAATCTAATCTAATCTAATCTAATCTAATCTAATCTTCCTCTCTCCCTCTCCCGGCCATGCTCCAGGTACACTAGTTGTCTCTGGTTTCTAAAAACATGTCCAATTCTGGATCTTTAAATATTTCACTGTACTTCTCAGAATACTATTCTGCTTTGTTCTTGTGTTTCAAAACCCTTTTCATCCATTGTTTTGAAGTCTTGGTGTTATTTCTTCAGAAAGATTTTCCCTTTCCAACATAAATCATCCAAGGTAGATGTTCCACTGAGATACTGACATCGGGTTGGGATGGCTGAATAAAGAGCTTGCTAGGTTTTTCTCTACTCCCAACCTTTATGCACAGCTAGCTTGGGCTTCCTTGTAGTATAGTGCTTTTAACTTTCACAGTCTTAGCAGTTGCATAGAAGCCAGTTCTTGCTAGAGAAAATGTTCCAAGAGAGGGTTCTGCTACTTCTCTAAAGCTTGACAGAGTATTACTTCTGTTGTATTCTATAGAAGCAGCCCAGATTCAAGAAACAAGGGGGTAAATGGCACTTCTCCATGGGACACAGAATTTGTAGAGAAGTTATTTCATTCCAGAACCTCTCCTGGTGGCACACTGTACTTAACCTCACCATGACAACCACACTGAATCAAACCACACTGCTTGGTCTTAGGTGACACTCTGATTCCAGAGGCTAGTACAGTACCCTCAATAAGTAATTGTTCAGTGGAGAAATTAAAACTAAGACATTTTGCATTATACTTTAGATCTTCCCAAATCTTTGGGATATCTTTGGGAACAGGGAATAAACCATGAAGATCCACAACTAAGAAGTTTCTTTCTGACTTTTGCTTCTTCTGTAGCTGATAGAGAACCTAGTATATATATATATATATATATATATATATATATATATATATATATAAAGTTTTCAGCATCTATTTGATGAATGAATTAATAGGTAATTGAAGGCATGTCAGCCTGGTTCTGCTGCCCTTTCAATGTGACCAAAGTTGATTGTACGTGAACATCAAGCCATTTCTCCTGTACAGGTTCAGATCTGTCTTTCTTTTCTTCCTGTTCTTTATATTTCTGGCCAAAGAAAGCTTGATAAATCCACCCTTTCGCCTCTCTAGCACTTTACAACACATCTCACACATATATTTTCAGATGCTTGAAACAGGATGGGAGTGAAACACCATGTGCCATAAAATTCATTCAGCTCAGAACAAAGTGCTGTCGGAGCTAACAAGTCTCTTAGCTGTAATACTTAGACATCTTTCCTTGCAGGGACAGATAGAGATCAGTAAATTGGAGAAGAAACTAGCAATGTGGTAAAAATCCATTAATACCTGAAGCCATATCCGGAAAGAATGAAAAGGGGGAATCTATGACCATTGCTAAGAGTTACTGAGAACGAGGCATTACAGTCAGTAAAGGCAGTTTGATTTTCAGCTCCATTAAATGGTTTGATCCTGAGGATTGTTACTCTGATCAGTTTACTTTTGAGTGCTTTGGACTCAGGGGTGGCTTACCAGGGACTAGGACAATTGCTTGTAAGGGAAGGGATTCTTGTGATTCTCTATCTTTGATTTAAACTTCCCTCCTGAGCTTTAGACTCTTACAGCAGACGCTGTATCACAGATCTCACCTGGACACCTCACAGCTATTTCAAACTGCACTTGCCCAAAATAGAATCTGTTCTTTGTTCTCAGAAATGAGTTCTGTCTTTGGCAGCTTCTATCAGGATCTAATGCACCACTTTCCATGCAATTCCTTGAGCAGAAGAGTGGCTATTATTCTTCAAGCTTCCTGAATATTGATGATAATAAATAATATTTATTAATAGCATCTTATGTACTAGGTGCTTTACGTATGTTTGCCTATTAGTCATTACAACAGCCTAGGACCAAGGCGATGCTCTAACTTCCATTTTACAGATGGGGAAACCGAGGGGATGGCAAATGTGCTAACATGTTCTTTGCCTGGAGTCTCTGTCCACCCCATGGCAGCCTGACTTATCTTTTCAATATGCAGATCTGCATGTGTCACTTTTTTTAATTAGAAAGCGCTACTGGCTCACATGATAGCCCAGATTCTTAGCCAGGAGTACAACACTTTGTGACTGGGCCATTGAGTGGGAATTCAATCCTATTTCTAGCTGTTCCTTTCCTGTTCTTTCAACCCCTCATATACTAGATAAGTGAAATATTTGGAACCTCATGGAATATGCATATATCATTAGCCTAATTTAAGTCTTTATTCATTATAAAAATACTTTGGAGCATTGTTCTAGACATCACTATTACAGCTGTGAACAAACAGATCAGGCACTCATGGCACAAAGCTTTCCACTCTTCTCAGTAGGGCCCTCTTCCTAAAATATATATCAAATGACTATATAAGTGATGTAATGTCATAAGTCATAGGTGCTTGGAGAAGTAAGCAAGGTCAGAGTGCAGAAAGTAGCAAGGGAGTTCTTTGTACACAAGTTATTCAGAGCATTTCCCAAAGGCCCTGAAGTGAGAATGTGCCTGGAATGTTTGAAGGATATTGGAAAAAGTCAGTGTAGATGATCTTATAAGCTGGGGGAATATAGGATGTGCAGGATGAAGGGAGGTCTCTAATATTCCAAGGATAATTCCCATAAGGTGTTGAGGCCTTGGAAATGACTTTAGATTTTATTCTGAGTGCCATAGGAATGCTTAGGAGTTTGAGATCAGGGAAAGAATGAATCTGATGGACATTTCAAACACATCATGCTGATAGCTATGTGCCCATCAAAAATCTCAGTGGGACTGGATGGAAACAGAATGACCATGCAGGAGGTTCCTAGCAGGCTGTTGTTCCTACTTTAGGAGTGTCTTTCCCCCCTTCATCTCTCTGCCTTCACGTAGTGACCCTGTTTAAGAGACTCTACTGTAAAAGACTGACTGATGTGGGAGGAAGGTGCTGTGAGACCGAAGAAAGTGGCAGACAAATGCAGGATTATACTCAGGGAAACTCACTGGTATTATCTTAATCAGCTTTCCAGTACTGTAACAAAGTACCTGAGATAATCAACTTATAAGAGTTAAAGTTTATTGCATCTCAGAGTTTGAGAAATTTCAGTCTGTGATTGGTTAACTCTGTTTCTTTTGGGCCCAGGCTGAGGCAGGGCTTCATGGTGGGAGCACATGGAAGAGGAAACTGCTTTCTGCATGGGAGTTGGGAGGCAGAGGGAGAGGGAGAGGGAGAGGGAGAGGGAGAGGGAGAGGAGAGAGAGAGAGAGAGAGAGAGAGAGAGAGAGAGAGAGAGAGAGAGAGAGAGAGAGAGAGAGAATCAATCAGGGGGTCCAGTATCTCATTCAATAGAATGCATGCAATGTTTTAAATTCTTCTCATTATGCTTCACCTCCTAAAAGCTTTTCACTGCCCCAATGGTACTGCACAATAAGGACAAAGCCTTCAATACAGTTTTGGGGGACATTCCAGATACAAAAGTATAGCAGAGACTTAATGACAGAACCATGATTCAAGATGGCAGCAAGACCAGAGGATGAGCATAGCTCTCATTAGAAGGACTATGGTGTGGTCAGGACACTCATGGTAGTGATCAGGACCAAAAGTGACGCTCATCCAAGCCAGAATGTACCTGGTTTATCTCAGGCTAACATCAAGGTTATGAGGCACTTGCCTGGCACTGAAACAGTCAGGATCCAGTCATAGAGTTAAACATACCACTCTAGTAGTTTTGTTTATTTCTAGGTGCTGGAAAACTATGCAGGAAAAACAAGCCAGGGTTACCTAAGGGTAATCATAGTAGTTATGACTCAAAATAACTACAGTCGTGTCACGTTTGGTGCCTGTAGGTCACTGCCCGGCTTTCTGTATCCAAAGGGATCTTTGTTCAAAATTTCAATTTTTTTCTCCATCCTTCTGACACAGAATTGTCTATTTCTCCACAATTTTTTCTTTTGCATTTTCTTATGTGGATGTCTGACTTTCCTGTCAGCTGTGAACTCCTGAAGGGCAGGATCTATTTCTTACTCTTTGTATTTTTAGCTCTCTGGCATGGCATCTGACACATGGCAGTGCTTAATGGGGATTTAATGAACACATGGACCAATGAATGAATGGTTTGGCTAACACTAGACATATTTATTTGATTGAATGAAGGGAGTCTTTAAATAATTCCACTTAATCAAAATGGGCTGTGTACATATAGGCCAACCTCAGGACATAATATGGACATCAGACTTCAGAAACTGTTGTGGGAACTTGATTGATGCAGTTATGGGGCCCTTGTGACTACAGCGCCATCTGTTGGGAGTTCGCCGATCAGATTCTGCTCATGATTCCTATCCTGGTTACCAGCATACTTAGCGCAGCCAGTTTTAGCCATTCAGACACCACCCCACTGTGCCATTTAGCTTCTGATGGTGAAGGATTTCTGCAGTACCTGCTTCAGCTCCATGAAGGTAGGTGGTGACTTCCAGCTTCTCGGGTTACTCATTTGTTGAATGGCCTTCGACTGGTTTTCTGTATTACTATGCTGCACTTAAAATGTACCTGATACAAACAAAAAACTTTTTTTTTTTACAGCAAATCTGAGAGGTGATTTATATGATGAGTATGTTAAAACATTATAGAATTCCTTTAACTAAGATGTCTCTTGAATTCGTTTAAAATGATGTGATTTGTTACAGAGAAGCATTTACATGCACCTTCTAGGGCCCAGCAGCAATTAGATTTAAGCAGTTCTGATTTGGACATTTTCCATCAACTCTATTTTCGGTGCATCTGCTCTCAGCTATGCTCTCCTGGTGTCAGGGCTGGATGCAAAACAGTAGAAGGGACCAGATTCTGTTCTCATTCTAGATCCACTCTGCCAAAATACAGAGCCTAGTCACATGTGGCTATGGAGGTTCTGAAATATGGTAAAGGCCACCGAAGAATGGAATTTTAATTTAATTTAATTATACTGATTTAAATTTAAAAACTGACATTTGACTCAGTTATTTGAAAACTTTTAACTGCTTGGAGTAACTCAGATGCATGAATCTGCTTTACCAGCTATAAATTTTATGAGCTTTAAATACAAATCAATTATGTTCGATGAAAATTTAGTGTATTAAGATGCACTGTAAATATAAGAACCACACTGATTTGAAAACTTGAATACAGAAGGCAATAAAATATCCCACTAATGCTTTTCATACTGATCACAGTCTGAAATACTAACCTTTTATATGTGCTGGTTTAAATATGTTAACGAAGTTAATTCTGCTGATTTAGTTTTATGTTTTAAATGTAATTTTAAAAGTTTAAATTAGGTATGTCTTTATTATTTTTTTAAATTTTATTATTGTCTTTTTGGTACCAGGGATTGAACTCATAACCTCAGACTTGCCAGGTAGGCACTTGTGCTCCTGAGCTATATCCCCAGCCCATAGGAATGTCTTTATTATAGTTCTGCCAGAAAGTACTGGCTCTCTGTACTAGGGAGGCTTAATACATCTTTATCATCCATATCCTATTCTAAGTGAAGCCATATAGCCCAACATGCTCTGTGAACTTATTGTGATTTAAATTAGATGTCTCTGCAAAGCCATATGTGCTCCTAGGTGGAGATTCTGGGAGGTGCTTGGATCGCAGGCACATGATGCTTATGGTTCACTTATAGCTAAATGTGATATTAAGTGAAGCCTGGTTGGAGGAGGTGAGTCACTGAGGGCGTGGCCTGGAAGGGTCCATCCCCCTCTCTCCTCTCTTGATCCCTCCCTCTGCTTTCCACTGCCAAGTCATGAACCCTTTGTTGTCTTCAGTGCTCCTCTGCCATGCCACTCTGCCTTGAAACCAGCTGCCTATGGACTGAAAATTCTACAAACTGCGAGCCAAAATAAGCCTTTTCTTGTTTAAATTGTCTGTCAGGTATTGTGTTCCAGCAACAAAAAGTAATCAAAACAGATCCCATCTAATTAGAACAGAGTTGGGCAATCATGGTTGAGAACCGGTGTTAAAATATTTAGTTACTTGATTTGTCCATTTCTATGGATAAAAATATAGCATCAGGTAATAATAGCGTCTAGAAATTTCTTCAAGCTGGAGAAACCACATCTGTTAGGATTTTGGGATCAAGACCTAAGATTTGCTAGTAAGAATTTGTTGGACAAGGAGCTAGCAAGAAAGGTAGATCATGTTCAGCCAAAGCCTTGTTTGGGGAGGAAGACCCTGATAGAGGACCCCAGGGGGCAATGTAGGGCCCCATACAGACAACTAGGAAGCCTGGGAAGAAACACAGGACCCTATGTGGCTGTACCTCCCACATGGTGTCCTACGGGATTTTCTGTTTCTTTACCACAGATCTCCTTTAATTTAATCTAGCTCACATGGGTTTCTGTTTCTTAAAGCAAATGATTTTCACACATGCACATATAATTACGGAAACAAATCAAATATTTATAACAATCAAAATGTACTAACATTGAAATTAGAGATATGAGCATATATCTGCATGCAAAGAAATGTGGTCTAAAGATCGTCTTGGGGTCACTGAGTGACCCTGAGATTATTTTAACAACATCTTTATAAACTCAAAACCATTTTTAGTCTATAATTTGCCTTTCTTGCATTCATACTCTCAACAGTGTGAAGTTTTCCAGAGGTAATTTGATAAGCATGGATCAAATATAAAAGCAAATGCAAGATCTCAACTACCTTTTATTCACCTATATATTGCAGAACATTATTAAAATGCAAAGCAGTACTAGTCTTGTCACTAATTTTTGATTCTGTTAAGTATTGTTATTTTCTATTCACATTAGATGTAAAGGATCTAGTAAATATATTGAAGTTTCCCTGTTTTATTCAGATTTTTTTTGTCTTTTTTGTTTTTATCGGTACCAGGGATTGAACTCATGACTGCCTGCTTACAAGGCAGGTGCTTACGCCACTGAGCTAAATCCCCAGCCCCGAAGTTTCCCTGTTTTAATTGCTAATATCATAGGCATTCATAGATAAACAAAAGCTCTTTGGCATTCTCAGTAAGTTTTAAGAATACAAATAATTTTGAGCAGAAAATACTATGATAAATCAACTAAGAGTTCATGGCTGGAGACTTGGTTTTGAGTTGCTCTGTAGTTTTATTTTCTGTTCATCATGCCTGTGTCTACATAGGGGTCCAGAAAAAGTGCAATTTCAATGGTTTTCAACCCTAGATCTAAATCAGCCTGGTGGACCAAGGTAATTATGTATTTTAGACCCTCTGTCCCAGTTGATTGTATCATGAAGTCTGAGAAGACATTCAGGCAAGTACATTTTTGAAAAGTTCCTGAAGAGTCTGTTATACAACATGCAAAAAGGAGCAAAGAGACACCACTTAATTACATGGGTTCATTCACAGCTTCTCAAGGACACATGCTGAAATCCAAGGATCCACTCTAGTTGAGCATTGGAGGTGAGATGCTACAGACCTGAGTGAGCCCTTGGGCCTTATCTCTAAACATTTGTAGACTGGAATTTGTTGTTTGTGCGACAGGATAATAGAAGGTTTTCCTGGAGTATGTGCGTGTGCATGCATGTGTTCTTGTTTCTTAAGAAAAAGGAGGCCCTTGCCCCCAACCCTATGAAAATATCTTGCAGAAAACACTTTTGAAGGCCTAAAGAGTAATGTGTCCCTCATACCTCCATTTCCATGCACTGCAAAGTATTAGGATGGTTCAAGAGGAATTTTCATTTCTTCTCACCCTGGGATGATACAATGAGTTGGATCATAGGTTTATTGCAGCTTCTTACAGTGCTTTCTATTCACTTGAGTTTTCTGGAAAACTCCACTTTTCTGGACACGTGGGTAGTGCATGACACAGGACTGTATAGTCATAGTGTCCTATCTTTAGGAACAGAGACACCACGGAGCTCGTCTTCTAACCCTGAGCACCTCCAGGGACTTAGATCCCCACATGAATGGCGCCCCCTGGTGTGGTGTGACGGAAGAGACTTCCTCTGGAAATCGGGTAAAGGAAGGGGCGCACAGAGAAGGACCAATCCGACTTATGTAGAACAGTGAAGGAGTGGGGTGGGGGAGAGAACTCTTTCTACTGGCGATATTAATCAGAGACGCTGGGAACCACAGCTTCTGCAGTCATCTTGCAGACTGCACTTGGCAAGCTCCAGGTAGGAAATGATGTCAGCATACATAGCAGAAAATAGGAGCTAAAGGTCGTGGAAGATAAAGTCCTGGGGACAAAATTTAAGCTTCCGGGTACAAATGAGCTCCAAGTGAGATTCATCTTTGGATTCTCTGAGTCACAATCCAATTTAGTTACTATTTTTCTCAAATTTAAATTGGCATACTGGCCAATAATCCATTCTTATAGATAAGTGGGTTTATGCAACATGGGTGGGATATGGAAATCCAAGGAAAAAGAAATAAAGCAAAACAAAAAAAATCTTATGAGGACATTTATTCATAGATGCTAAGCATCTATGAAAGACAGTTATAAGGTACATTCTGTAAAGATTTGTTCATTTTGATTTTGTTGGTTACAGATAAGAGGTTTAATAGAGATATACTACTGATCATAAATAGACTATGGTAAATTAAGCATTATCAACACCTGAAAGTATGATGTCAACTGATAAGATCATTAGAGAATTTGTATATTTAATCCTTTGTTTTTAAAAAAGAATTCCATTTCTCTTTCAGATTTTCTATGCATGAGCACATATAACTATGTATTATTTTGCAAAAAAGCCATCATCCCAAAGTTTCTATAAATAGACCTCTTTGCTTTTATTTTAAAGTTGCTGATGTGTTGAGAATCAATGCAATATCTTGAAGTTGGATGTTATTTTGTTTTCATTTAATAAGTTAAATTAATTGTAATTTAATAAATATTTTTGTGGTGGTGGGGATTAAAACCTGTTGCATTTTAATCTAGGAATATTCATTACCATGTTTTATCTACTGCTTATAGATTAATTTATAAAACATCAATATTTTCCCTAATATATTTTCTCCCAAAATTTTAATGTCTTTTTTTTTTCCATAAAGAGCACTTTTATTCTTCTCCACTGATTTTTCTAATAGCATAATATAACTCATTGTGGGCATGGTAAAACAATTGAATGACATGTTTACTGTTCTGATCATCTAGATTAGTGAGCTCAACAGAACATGTGAATGCTCCAAGTCTATGCTGCTCAATTACTAAGCACAGGTGGTTCCTGAGCTGGTGAAACTGACAAAGTAAATATTTAGTTTAAATTAATTTCAATGTAGCTGGTGGCTCATGGCCATTATATTTTTCTGTGCCTCCATTTTTCCTTCTTGTTTAAAACTGGAAAACCAGTTTTATATTAAGTGAAAGAGGAAGACGATAAAGACAGAGGAGCAGACAGATCTGCTTCTTTGATCATGGAGTGACTGGTCCTGGAACCAGATCCTTCATCAACTGTGGGAGTTAGTAACTCACTTCAC